CGCTGGTCTGCTCCCAGTACAGGCAAGGTAGGGATACACAAAACCTGTACTTCCTCTATCTGTGTAGTTGATATGTTTAAATAATGCTGTTATTTATTGTTTGACACAAATAATATTGAACTGTCTCAGTGCGTTTCTACGAGGGAGTCCTTGAGTTGTGCCTCTCGGCAGCAGACAAGAAAGATCCGCAGAGACTGGGGCCCCACTTCTATAAGAACGGAGAACCTGAGGACGACAGAGTGGGACAGCAGGCCTTCCAGGAAAGGTAACACAACAAAGAAGTAGTACAAAAATTGAATTGCTTGCTGTTGTAGCCAATTGTGACACTGACATTTTGTCAACCCTCCCTTCTCTGTTCCAGACTTTCATGTTATAAGTGCATCACAGACACCATGCAGGAGCTGGTGAACCAGAGCAAAGCTGCGCCTCAGTCCCCCAGCGTCCCTAAGCAGCCAGGGCCTCCTGTCATGACCTCTGACCCTAACATGCTCAGCAACGAAGAAGCTACTGCTCATGTGAGAAAGAATGGTGCAGTTGATGCTTATTTCTTGCCACAGCGGTGTACATGATCAGCATTATTAATGAAACTATGTTGTTCCCTGTAGTTTGAGCAGATACTCGGTCTGGCCCAGAGGTCTCAGGACGAGCTGTTTCACATCGCTTTGTACAACTGGCTGATTCAGGCTGACCTGACTGACAAGCTGCTACAGGTAGTGTGTCCAGGTCTTACTTGAAACTTGCATCTTAATGTAGTTGCTATTTGTGCATATTGTATATCCAGGCTTATCTAATTTTTTTCCGTATTTTAATGAATACCCAGATTTTGTAAATGAGTACATCAGTTAGTGATTTTCAGATCCAGATTTTATTACCCCACACACCCACAGATTAGTGTGTTTTCTGATGAATTGAAACACTTTACATGTGTTTATAGTAAATGTGAAAAAGGCAGATAAAATAACAGTTGGAATACAGTGAACATCTTTATAATCCATGTTTTACCTGGATCCTTGCAGTATTTTTTCTTTTGTATATGCCTATAGCCCTGGGTATATCCAAAGTAAACATGTGTCTGTCAGCATTGTTAGTATGATTACTTGTCGTCTGTCTGATCGCTGTCCTTTTTTATTTGTACTCTGTTCAGGTGAATTCTCCATACCTGGAGGAACATCTGATGCATATGATCAAGCAGGACCAGAGTAAGGTGTACAATATGGACCTGTTGTGGCGCTACTACGAAAAGAACCGTAACTTTGGCAAGGCAGCTAATGTACTGGCCCGTCTCGCTGACATGCACAGGTTTGGACACACTGACTGAATAATAAGACCTGGTTACCACATATACGCATACACCACATGGACGACAAGTCCTTATTTTTTCTTTTTTAAATGATGACATGATAAAAAAACAGTACCTAATTATTTGTCTGCAGCACTGAGATCTCATTGAAGCAGCGTTTGGAGTATATCGCCCGAGCCATCTTGTCTGCTAAGAGTTCTTCCTGTATCTCCGCTCAGGCATCTGATGGAGAGTTCCTTCACGAGCTGGAGGAGAAGATGGAGGTATATATGCAGTGTCGATCATGGTGAAAAAAAAATCTAGGGTGTACTCCATCTATGAAACTAGCGTTGTAACTACTGACTTTCTGTGTCTTGTTCCCCTTCCCAGCTGGTGCGCATCCAAGTACAGATTCAGGACACTCTGATCAGACAGTACTCCCATCATCCCTCAGTGAAGAACGTCATCTCTCAGTTGGACTCTGAGCTCATGGACATCACCAAGGTAAGATGCAGCAGTAGAACAAAGATGAGCAGGAGTTGCCGATTATAAAGTTTTTTATTTTCAGTGAATGGGAAATGCTTGTAAATGCTGAATTATGCTCTCTCATATAGCTCTATGGCGAGTTTGCTGACCATTTCAAATTGTCCGAGTGCAAGCTGGCCATCATTCACTGCGCAGGACACTCTGACCCAATCCTGGTGCACTCACTGTGGCAGGAGATCATGGAGAGAGGCAAGCTGAAATGTCAACACCTCAAACATTTAGCCCGGGCCAAACCTTTTTAAAAGTGCCCTTCCCATGCCGTGTGTGATGTTAGTGTCAGTGATGATTGGTTTGTCTTGTCTAGAACTGGGAGACACCGTGGCCATGAGTCCAGCAGACAGGATGAGATCTCTCAGTTTGAAACTGGTATCACTGGGAAAGATTTATGCTGGAACACCAAGATATTTCCCTCTGGGTAAGATTTCACAGTCACACAATAATTATGTTCAGTTTTTTTCTCTTGCTTGAAATTTCCACCTTGCTGTTTTCTATAATATAATTAGACTTCCCCTTTGCATCATTTATGTCAGTGTCTCTGTGGTACAGGTCTGCAGGGTGGTGCTCTAGGTGATAGGCTTAATTATCCTCCCATTACAACCAGCCTGTTCAAACCCGTCTTCTCTGTGGAGACGAGGATCAATTTTATATATATTCTTGGTACTCGCACGCATGCACAGAATCATCTATGTCAAACGCAACACACATTTTCCCCAGTAATTAACACATTGCTGAGTATGCAATGCTAACCAAGTGCTGGTGTGTCGTGTGATTGTAGAGTTCCTAGTAAAGTTTCTAGAGCAGGAGGTGTGCCGACTGAACTGGGACGTGGGCTTCGTCACCTCCACCATGCAGGAAATTGGAGTACAATTGCCGCGTCTTCTGGAGGTCTATGACCAACTCTTCAAAACTCGGGTACATGCTTCAGATTAAATATCATGTTTGAAAACATCGCTTTTTCAGTTTTGCTCAAATTGACTTGCATGATTATAAGTAGCACTTAAATCTCTCAACTTAAATCTCATAACCTGCCCCATTGTGTCTCGCCTGTAGGATCCCTGTTGGCAGCGGCTGAGGAAACCTCTCCATTTAGTGGAGTGTATCCACGTGCTGCTTTCAGGATATGTGGATGATCCCAGCAGAGTACCAACCTATGACCGGTAATCACTGTCTGAGATGCTGTTCAGCTGCTGGCCTGTAGTGGGCACTGCAGTGTTGGCCTGGTGTTTACAGAGACATTAACTGTGATCCCCTGGTTAAAATCCCTGTGAAAATGAAAGCTGTGTCCAGCCAAAGTCTCCATGAGGCACGAACCTCCCCCTACTTGCTCACTTTATTGTAAGCTGCTCTAGATGAAATCCTGTGACAGTGTAATCACAAACAGTGGTGTTGGATTAAACCTTCCACTGTCTACACAGGAGGAACAATGCTAAAAACGGTTAACGTGATGAACATTTTGAAAAACAATATCTCCAGTAAGAACCGCAAAATTGTTACCATTGGGGAAAAATAGCTCTTGATCACACTTGGAGGATATTTCTTTGCAGCAAGAGGAATTTTTGCTGTTTCTAGGCAACACATGTCTGTCAATCACTTGTGTGCAGTCAGGCAGTTAAAGAAACATTAGACAGACATAAAACTGTTAACTTTAAATGCCCACTGATGTTTGTCCATGCATGATTCTTATTGTTTGTTGTATGTTATGGTCAGATACCTTTGTGTGAGAACTACTTGTTGCAGGGGTTTCTTTTTTGGTTGGTTTATTAATAGGTCCTCCCGTCCATATTGGCTGTAAAGAAATGCACAGTCTTTATTCTTTCAAAAGTTTATCTGTAGCGAAAATGAGACTTCAGCAGCCTGAGCCAAAAGTTATAGCTTTTTTTTTTGTTTGTTTGTTTGTACAAATCTCCCTTTGTGTTACTCTCCCTCTACTACAGCTCAGTGAGCCCACTTGATTTGACTAAATCAGCTTCATGTAAGCGTCAGCAACATACCTAGTGTGTTACTGAAACTCTCAAAATAAACCCGCAGTGAACTTGGTTTAACAGCTTGTTTTTTTTCCCCACCATTTCAGACGCCGATTCACTAACGTGTGTCTTGACAACATCTGTGGATACCTTGTGGAGCTGCAGTCGCTGAGCCCAAACTCTGCCCTTCAACAAACCATCGGCAACTTCAAGTCACTGCAGGCAAAGCTGGAGAAACTCCACTGACGTTACTAATAATGTTCTTCGCAGGACAAGGGACAGGTGACCTCTGGATCTTGCACTGTTGGCCTTAATTAAACAGCTGATTTAAAAGCATGATTACATGATCAGCTCGAACAAAATAATGTTTGTATTCCACATAGTTAGGCTCTTCTCAGTCTTCACTCTGTTACAGCCTGTCAAGTACTTGTTGTTAAGGGACTGTGGGAGCAGGTGATGGTAAAGTCTTCTGATAAAGATGAGACAGAAGAGACGAGTTTTATAACTTATTTAATACATTTTTGTTAGAAGTCTAAACACAATGCTGAAACAAACCTTTGGAAAGCAAGACACTGTTGGTTATTTGCATTGTGTGCAAGTAGCTGTGTCAGATATCTAAAAATTGCAAGATATTTAAGTTACCCGTGTTCATAAAAATGAAATCTGATTTTTGCAGGTTAGTTTTCATATATAGAAAATGTACTTACTGATTTTTCTTATGACTTGGTAAATATATCTGACTAAAGCCTTTTGATCACAGGGGAATCATTTTGATTGTTTTACATTTGACTCCAAGCAAACCGTTAAGTGTTGGATGTTGTAATTATGTACATAACTTGGCCATAATGTCATCTCTTCTGCCAAAGGTCGTACACACACCTAAACTTTTTTTCCTTGTGTATTATTAACTGAGCATTTTGTCGGCTTGGCTGATAAATTGAACAGTGACGTGCTGTATGAGTGCTTTTTTGATTGTTTAGAAAGTAGAACAACTTCTTTTTAACATGGTGCAGTTCACAGTGCTACACTGGAAACTTTGGCCTGCATTTAGGAAAAAATACATAAAACATTTTTATAAAGAAACAACACTTGTCATTGCTTTTGTGTGTGAGGATGTTTTGAAAACACTCATGAACCTAGTTGTTACCTGTGAACAAACAAACTCATGTTCTTAGGCATAATTACAAGTGGAAAGGAGGATTAAATTTCTGTGGGTTCATCATGTGACACTGCAGATGGCATCCAATAATGGACTACATGTCATCACTGTTTTTGTTTACACAATTATCTTTAATTAAAACTGGCTCTCAGGGTATCTTGCAGTCATCACCAACAGGGCAGTAATTGCTAAAGGTCTTTCTGTAATAGCCATGCACTCATTATTTTCACCAGATCCTGGGTTAATTTCTCACTTAATGATGCAGTGAGTCAGTTCACTCATAAGTGCCAATAGATTATACCATAAATTATGTTTACCAGGTGGGAAGGCAACTAATAATACAATCAGTGTGAACAGTCCCGCCCCTTTCATCAAATCAAACTAAGTAGTGACATTATAATGTCATTGAGAATAACTCCATCACACATACTGTTTTAACAAGAAATGCAGTAAAATTTATGTAGCAAATGAATAAAAATGTCAATTGTGACTAAGCATCTTTGTGCACAAGTAGCTAGAAGAAATTTAGAGTTGTGCTTTTAGAATCTGCAGCGTGAGCAGCAACAATATATTATTATATTCCAACCTTTTACATTTGTTTGCTTTGGAAATATTGTTACACAGCTTTTTACAAATACGCTCACAAGGTGTTTCACAGAGGTAAAAGACTGAACAAGCGATATTATAAGGTATAAAGCAACAAAATATATTACAACTATTTGTAATCCCAGTGAATGGAATTCAACACAATATTTAAAAGATGATAGGCCTACTGACTGTCTGTCTGAGATCAGTGGGCAGGCCATTACAGCTGTGTTATAGCCCTGACAGTAAAAACCCGCCACGTTTAGTCTTCAGTCTCAACACTGAAAACGTCCTGAAGATGTAACAAAGCTTCAGAGTTAACCTGGACTTCACAAAGTATGTGTAAGGGGGGAGATGGGCCTGCTGCAGCCTTTTTTTAAACTTAGAGCTTTGGAGAACAGACACCAGAAGCAGAAGACTGTTCAAGGTGATGAGTAGTAAAGGGCTGGAACTAATGATTGTTTTAATCGTGGAGCATTAACGTCTTAAGATATATACCAGAAATCCTCAATTTTCCATCACAGCTGGAAAGGTTAAACCAGGGAATGTTATATTTGTGCTAAACTGATTATCAGAATAGTTCGAGAATAAATAGATCGATGAAACAAATCACTTATTATTTTAAAGTAGCCTACTACAAAAAAAAAAAAATTGGAATGATCAGAGAGGTTAGCTCCTAATGGAGGCTCATGTGCTCATCTCCATCTCTTCCACAGTTTTCTATAACAGTAATAGATGCTTTTATTTATCAAAGGGCTAACTGTGATAAATTAGGATGTTGAAATTGAGATTAGAGAAAGCGTTCAGTGAGGATCAGAGACACAAGGTCTTCCCAAACCAGACATGGGTTCCATAAACACGAATTGAGTCCAGAAGTAAAAACTGGATGTGACGTACACGTCTACCTTCTGCATGAGCAAGAGAGCTTTTTCACTCCGTGCAGTAGTAAGTAGGGGATGATGCAGGTGTAGGAGGCCGCAATATAGTCGGCCACCTCCAGCACTATTGGCGAGGTGTGGATGTTGCTGGAAATGCGCAGTAGCAGATGAGTCAGCCAGCAGACCAGGAACACGCTGGCTACAGCCACCACACTCTTGGCTGCCCTCACCTGAGAGCTTGAGCTCGGACTGGGCTTAGCTGGCATCTGGCTGGGCCTTGAAAGACTTGGTGGAGCTCCAGCTCTGCGGCCTGTGTTTGTTTCCCTGTTGGAGCAGTGACCTGACAGCCCTCCATTTGGACAGGGAGAAGCAGGCACGCCCGTGTAAATGAGGGTTGGGGATGCAGAGTCTTTGACATCTTTTGAGGTGCCTGCAGAAACCGTGCCGAATGATGTGTCATGCTTCTGGATTTTAATAGGCCTACTCTTGTTTTCGTCCTTGGTAGGGTAAGAGTTATGGCTCCGTATGCATCGCTGGCTTTGGAGCAGAGTGGTGACAATCTGGACACTGGCAAATACAATCCCAGCAATAGGGAGAGCATTAGCCAAGGTTAAATAAAAGATATCATAGGTTTGCCTGGCGGTTGCATTAGGGAAGACATCCACACAGTCTTTTTGGGTCTCATTTGTCCCTTCCACTGTGGCAAAATAAAAGTGCGGGATGCTGAAGACCACAGCCACCGTCCAGCTCCCAGCCAGCAGACAGCCCACCAAGCACATGCTGTCCATCCGCACGGGTGCGCCTCCCCGTTTCAGGGAGCCGACGAGCTTCTGGTGCCAGAAAGCACTGATGAAAAAGGTCGTGTAGATGCTGCTGGTCTCGGAGAGGTCAGAACAAAAACGCAACACGCCACAAAAGGCTTCCCCCAGGAACCAGCGTCCGGCGAAATCTGCCACAGTGTCGGGCAGGTCCACCAGGTAGTTGGTGATGAGGTTGGAGACAGCCAGGTTGATGAAAAGGGCCTCGTTGGTGTGGATGCCAGATTTCTGCCCTGGCAGGGAGCGTATAGCCAGCCAGTTGTTTCCCAGGACCCCTGCCAGGAACATGAGCGCTCTGATGGTGGATTGAATCAAATGTTTTGCCTCCATCGTTTATCAGGTTCTGGTGACAACACCTCTTAATCTTTACTGTACAGTCTCACAGTTTCAAAGCTTGTAATGTTGGAGGCTTTCGTCTTTTGGACATTTATAGACGAGGATAAAAAGCCCAACCCAATCACTTGTAGAGTTCAAACAACGTGTTGACATTTTGTATTTTCTCATGGAGCCTTCATCATGCAGTCCCGCTGAGATCGAGGTGTAGCCTATTTATTGCCACGGCACGGTGTGTGCAGTAGTTAGTGCTGTTCCCTCACAGCAAGAAGGTCGCGGGTTCAAAACCGGGTTGCCCAGGCTTTTCTGTGTGGAGTTTGCATGTTCTCCTCGTGTCTGCGTGGGTTTAGGGATAGTTTAAATTCAAAGGATGAATTTCGCTACATTCATGACAGGCGCTTCCCAAGGAGCGTCCCCTGACTGGATGCTGACTATAGTGTGTCTAATTGCAGAAAGAAAAAACAGAGCAACTGTGGAGGTAACCAAAGAGCCACTAGCTAGAGTCCTTTGATAAATTACAAACAAAATGTTAGCCCACTTCATGTAGAGAAAACATACCGACTCATCTGTCTGTATGTCCTTGCAGCAGCAATTGACGCTTCACTTTGCACCCTGGTGGCACAAATTTTGTGATTTTCACTGTTTTTTTTTAATCTTTAGAAATGAATAGCCTACACACTATTTAAAATAGCACACTGTTTATAAGTCAATTCAAAAAATTTTGGCATTCTTCTTTAAGAAGTTTCTTTCTAATGCCAGCAGAGCTTTTAGTAGGCTACCACTTCTCCTTTATAAAAAGTAATACAGTAGCCTACTAACAATGGACAGTAGTCTAATTTACTAATTGCCTATTTGGTAGACTGACTTGAGAATTGACTGATAGGCCTAATGCATCAATAGGCCTACATGCTAAAAGCCACCCAGTCTGCAGTTGTAAATGTTAAGCCTATTGTTAATAAATTAATTTTAGTCCAGATGCTCTGCAACACCCCACTAGGTAATTACTAATGGCTTATAATATTAATCATTAACCATTGATAAAACCGTTAGGAAGGTAGTACGGTCATCTTTTTTTGTGGAGACTTAAGATGTCAATAGGCTATAACATAGTAGGCTATGCTCTAACAAATTGATCAGATCACTTTTTTTTATTAAGTTTTGAATGATATTAATAACTTAAGTAGGTCTAACTAACTAACATGGATATGGCTTACAGTTATTATTATAATTTTTTAAAAGCTGTTCGTCAGATCGCAGCGTGGGGTCTCAGTGTGGTGTAGCAGTGTTTCACGTGATTCCTGAGTAAAAGCTCCACCTTTAGGATAAACCGGAGGCGGCATTTGTGCGCTGCCGCCTGCCGGGACAGACGGGATGCAGCACTGAGCACCGCCGCTGCGAGCTCTGGCTTTATGAGGCTTTTTTCTTCCCTTTCTCTCTTTTGAGTATGATTTTCGTTTCCCAGCGCTCTGAGGTCGATGCGGGGCTTTGTCCGAAAAGACACACAAACAAACAGGTACGCGCACGGTGCGGCGGCCGTCGCTTTCGTCAGTGATGAGCCTCTGATGAGTGTGGAGAGGACAGGATGCCCGCCAGCGGCGCCGACTCACTGAAACCCAGCGCCTTCGTCCCGGTCTGCACGGCCGCCTGCCTCCTGGTCGGCTCTACCTCCCTTTTCTTCGTCTTCACGTAAGTGTGTCCCCCCCCCTAGAAATGAAACGTTGGCGGAAGGCACTGTTGGTTTGCTCCACAGAAAATGCATCCATCCTTCCAGACATCCATCACTCTTCATCCACCATGCATCAGGTATTCCTTCATTCAAATATGTCTACTTTTTTTACGTGTGGAATTGAATTTTTAGACTATGAAACATTAAAAATTATCTTCCTCTCTAAGCTGTCATTAAGCTGAATGTGTAGGCCTACATTTTATTATTTTTATTTCCATTTTAGATTTTGCAGTTAATCTCCAATTTCTAAAAAGCTGCTTAAACCAGTATTTAAATAACAAATGCCTCAAAAGAGCACAATTTCTTCTTCTTTTTCTTCGCTGTTTTCATCTGCTGGCAGACCCACTAGGGGCGGCCAACATCTGACCTGTTCGGCTCACAGAGTGGGCTATAGTCTGGATGCCTGCCCGGTGCACCCTGAGGACTCAGAGTAAGCACAGTTTAGGGAATAAGCCACCCAAAATCAACGTGTCACTCTGACCCACATGTGTGATAAATGCGGCATCGCATCACACAACCTTCATGGCGTGGTTTGTAAGTTTTAATACAACACTTGGTGAAAGTGTGGAAATAGTTAATTTTAGCCTCCTGGTTGTGACCTATTTGCGAGGGAAGGCAGAGCTAGTGGGAGGTTGAAAAGACTCCACTCAAGCCAACGCTGACATGCAGGAAAAAAATTCAATTGCATATCTTAGAAACCAATTTAAATGCTGATAGGTAAGTCATATGTAGGCCTTTCTATATATTTTAAAGCCTGTGCTTATGTACCACAAAGAAGAAAAACAAGCAGACCTGCGTCACATTTTAAAGTACGCTGCTTTTAATATGAAAACCCCTTTGATATCCAGTATTGACTTACTGAGTGAAGGCTCCCACCTCATCAGCTCTGTGCCATTCTACTGACCCTTGGCCTCCGTAGCCATATCTGTCCTAGTTTCTCCCGTATCTCCTGCCGCGCACCCTTTTCACTGGAATCTGACACCAGATTGGGAGTATGGGATTAGGATCCTCTTGCCATTGCCATGTGATCCCCCCATCTGGGAAAAATGGTGTCTGGGATCTTTGAATTTACCATTCAGCAGATATTTACTTTGGAACAACTTTCACAGTGACATTTATTAATTTTGAAGTTTTAGGTGGTGTTGAATATGTTTTTTGTTTTTTCACACACCACTCCATTATTTTTCCCTTATTTTCTTCTGACCTTTCCTCTCTTGGGTAACACGGCTAGTGTAGAATTATGGTTCACAGCAGAAATACAAGCCCTTGTTTGTTTGAAATCCTCAAAAGAAACAAGGGAAATTGTGTTTAGTCTTTAGTTCATACAGTTATATCATGTGAGAAGGACTCTGTTGATCATGAGTGGCTCTACTTTGGGATTGTCTGTACAGATGTGGTTGTAGTAATCTGATATGTTGACATACATCATTATATTGGATTTTCATTATGCAGATTACTTAAATGAGTTTGACTCCCCACTCTAGAATACAAAAATATGTCACACTCAAATTCACATATCAGCTTTACAACAGTTAAACTGCTGAAGTCATGAGACTTCTGGGATGTGGAGACAGGCTCACAGGCCAGAAAAGGGAAAGAAACCCTGATGATGAACTCCTTCTATACGAGAGAGAGAGAGAAAAAAATCAATGGCCTGCTGATGTGATAGATTTAAAAGAGGGTGCTTAATTGGGACTGCATTGCTAAACCAACAAAACCAGGACACTGCAAATGATCAAAGTGATGAACCTGCTTCTTATGGGACAAGGTTTGCATTTGAGCTGAAATTACCTTATAACCTAAAAAGCTCACAGCTCAAAATGATCCCAGAGTTAGTTTCTGTGCACCCTGACTACTGTATATCAGCCTTTAAGAAAAGTAGTTTAAAACCTCAACCTTAACCATAAGTGTAATATTCTGCTGTAATGTCTGCAGTTTAACTTGTCTTGTGTGTGTCTTAAATACCCTACTAGCTCTTCGATTGCCTTTACAATCTGGCAGTACATACAATAGACTTAAAGGCTCTTAATATCAGTTGTTAGAGGTTAGAAACATTGTCTTTGGACAGATAATAGGCAGACACTCAGTGTCTTGTTGATATATAACAGTTCATATAACAGTTTTCTGATTTGACCACTTTGTTTAAAATCCTGTGTATCTGCAAAGCCAGCAGCTGCACCTGGAGTGACTCCCTTCTTCCAACAGTAGAGATAGACAGGTGCCACACTCTGTTTAGCCTCACCTTGGTAACACTGAGTCAAAGGGACATTGCTTGTCATCTGCCATAACATCACCGCGGCCTTTACCCTGGTTCCTGTGAATCATGGGAACATACGTGAATACCATCCAGCATTGTTGAACACTTTAACCCCCAATTTTATTTTTTACCCTGCAGTCATGCTATATATAAATTCAAAGTCCTTTTATCTGGAAATATTCATGCAATTATCAGTGTGTGTGCATTACTAGTGCAAGCATTCTTTCATTTCTGTTTCCGCTGTAGGCTTGGTAGAGTTAGAAAACTTGCGGAGGCTCTTTTGTCTTCCTTCGCCTGAAAAAATTAATCAGTTACTGGTTTCCTGCTTTTGTTCGTTTGACCCTGAACCTTTGTTTGTTTAAACAAAGGCCACAGACATCAGAAAGACCAGGAAAAAATGTCCCTTGTTAATTACGTTATGTTTCACCCTGCGCTGACTCCGAAAAATCTTACTTTTCTTTTTACTTTTCTTACCACTGAGTAAACTGTGTTTTCTTAAAGAAAAGTGTGCTCGCTTATGCTGAAAAGGCCATTTGCAAACACTGTGGACTGATTAAAATGTAATTACAGTGTTTCCCCTAGGATGGAGTTGTAGCAGTGGAGGTGAAGCAACATTTTTTGTGCGGATAGTGCATAGTATGTCTGAATATAGAACCCCAACACAATGCACATTAGAATAGCTTAAAATGTCAGGGTTTTCCCATAGTTTTATGTGAGGTTTAGATGAATGTTTTGATTGTGGTTGTGGCAGTCATGGTCAGGGGGGGTTGTCATGTCTTCCAATTAAAAATATGCAATTTGACATCATATTGGGCCATTATTTTCACCATATCTCTGAACAAATAAGTTGAAAAAGCTAGAGCAGATAATAAATAAACAACGTGCAAAGATCAGTCTACTGGGGAGAACCTACAACCATTAGATTTGTGGAAAGTACTTTGGTTGGTTATGATGCTCTCCACAGTGATTTTACATTTCTGCCACAGCGTGTTTTGTGCATCACCCCCTAAAACC